GGAGGCAGCAAGTCACAGGCATCCCTCCACCTGCCTCAGTTTCCCCTCTCCAGTGCCACCTCCATGAAAGGATGGGGGGGGCCTGTTTTGTCCTGTGTCCCCCAGCCATGCAGCATCTCACAGCTCCAGCTTCACCCACCTACGTGCCAGCCAGCTCCCACAGGGGTGTAGGGCAGGGACCGGGAGCAAGCAGTGTGTGCCCGACCTCCAGATGTGGGGCAGGATGATTTGGGGACAGAGCAGGGACACCAGTCCCGGTTGCTGGCCTGCAGCGATCCCCAAGACCGAGGCATCATTCCATGGGTCTGGCACCAACTCCAGGAGACGTCGTCCCCACACCGAGCCCCCTCCACCACTGTCCCCAGCGTCCTCAGCCCCGGCCACACTACCCCCACCCCGTGTCCCCACTGTGTCTCCCCCAGCTCTGACTCACATCTGGCCCCCCCCCCAGCGGGGCGCGTTCCTGGGGGGTCTATTTTGGGATGGGGCTGGCAGAGCCCGGCTGGCGGCACATGCACCCAGTGTCCTGCCAAGGAAGTACCGGCCGTGCCGAAATGCAGCAGTCGGCCATAGGGGTGTCTGGGGGTGGAGTGGGGGGGAGCAGTGCACAGAGACAGGGGTGCCGGGGGGGGTCTCCCCAGGTTGGAGTGGGGGGAGCACAGCACGTGGGGGTTTAGGGCACCCTGCTCATCTCTCTGCCTGCACCCCAGGGCTGTGCCCGCCCCAGCATCCTCCCTCTCCCCCAGTTCCCAGGCTGAATCCCTCCCTCTCTCCCAGTTTTCAGGGCGATATTCTTCCCTCCCCCCACCTTCCCACAACCATCTCCCTCCGTCTCCCCATCACCCAGGACCATATCCCTCCTTCTCCCCATTTCCCATGGTCATCTCCCTCCCTCTCCCCAGTTCCCACAGTCACACCTCTCCCTCTCCCCACTTCCCACAATAATACCTGTCCCTCTCCTCAGTTTCTACCACCATCTCCCTCCCTCTCCCCAGTTTCCACAACCATACTCCTCCCTCTCCCCACAACCACCACCTCTCCATCTCCCCAGCTCCTACAACCATGCCCCTCCATCTCCTCAATTTCCACGACCATCTCCCTTTCTCTCCCCACTTCCCACAATATTTGTCCTTCTCTCCAGTTCCCATGACCATCTGTCTGCCTTTCCCCAGTTTCCACCATCATCTCTCTCTCCCAACTTCCCACAATAATACCTGTCCCTCTCCCCAGTTCCCACTACCATCACCTCTCCATCTCCCCAGCTCCTACAACCATCTCCCTCCCTCTCCCCAGTTCCCACAATAAATATTCATCCCTCTCCCCGGTTCCCACGACCATCTCTCTCTCCCCACTTCTCACAATAATACCCCTTCCTCCCACCATGTCCCACGGCCATTTCCGTCTCCCTGTTCCCATGACCATCTCCCTCCCCCTGTTTCCCACGGCCACCTCCCTGTCCCCAGCTCCCAGGGCCGTTTCCCTCCCTCTCCCTCCCCACCTGCTCTTTCCCCCCATCCCATCTGCTCGCCGGGCCCTGACCCCGACCCTGCTGGAAGGTAATTAATATTTGACAGCACATTAGCGGGACCCGCTTGGCTGGCGGCCGACGGGGGAAAGGTCGTGCCCCTCCATTACATCCCTCCCAGGGAGCAGGGGCTGCTCTCAGGGGGGGTGTCATCTCAGCACCCACCATGGGGCAGGAATCGGGGGGCTGTGACCCCCCTGCCCCACTGGAGATCATCCCCAGGATCTGGCCATCCAGCCCCACTGGCACGTCTGTGGCCTCCGCTGC